AGATGCAAGATGGTACAACCACCATAAAAACAGTACAGCAGTCCTTAAAGCTCAGTATAGACTTACCATATGAACAATTCCACCCCTGGGATATACCCAAAAGAACTGAAAGCAGTGACTTGAGCAGATATATTTGTGCACCCATGTTCACAGCAGCCAAAAGGTGGAAATGACCCAACGGTCTATTGACAGATGAATGAATAAGCAATTAAATACTAATTGGCCTTCAAAAGAAATGAAATTCTGACATATAGTACAATATGGTCATACCTTGAAGACACTGTGCTAAATGAAATGGGCAAGGTACTAAAGGTCAACTACTGTATGATTTCACTTAGATGAGGTTCCTAGAGTTGTCAAATTCATAAAAAGAGAAACAGAAATTACTAGGGGCTGGGAGAGAGGGGAGGGGCAGTTAGTTCAATGGGAATAGAGTCTTAGGTTGAGAGGATTAGATCTGGAGATAGTTCTGGGGATGGTTTCAAATCAATATAAACGTGTTTAATGCTGTGATCTGTACCCTTAAAATGGTTAAGATGATGAATTTTGTTGTGCATGCCTTACAATAATGATAATAATAATAATAATGATAAATAACAACAATAAAACAGGACAGTGGAGCCAGGGAGGCCCTTGATCTGTCCTGATGAGCCTCCTTGTGAAACACAGCCTAGCTGAAAGGAACTTTCCTGAGGAGGGGTCACAGGAAAGACCAGGATCAGGGAGCTATTATCCCAGGACCACTAAAGCCTGACTTCCAGCTGCTGAAGGGCTGACATGTGACAGACACTGTGCTATGCCGATCAAGGACTGGAGCAAGACAAGCAGAAACCTCAGAGAGACTGTATGGGGTTTAATTTCAGGAAGATCTTTCCAGTTGCCAGTGCTGCTTAGCAGTGGCATAGGTTGCTCTGGGAGGCAGGGAACTGTTTCCCACTCAAGAAAGGCTGGATGCGAACCAAGGCTGGAGAAGCAAATGGTGAGGATGCTGCAGAAGGAATTCCTGGGACAGTGGGAGGTCAGCCCAGCTGAGTTCCATGATTCCTTACAACGCTCAGACTCTGACAGTCAAGCTAATTCCCTTGATCTTGCCCTGCCCAAAAGACAGGAAGGAAGCAACTCAGCTGAGAGTAAGGAGACCCTGCTCTAGTCCCATCTCCATCAGTGATGGCTTTTGACCTTGGATGGATCACTACTCCCTGAGTTTTGATTTACTCACCTGTGCAAAAATGCCTTCTGACTCTCTCCTCACTCCACCACCATCCCCAGAGATATCATAAGGGTAAAGTGACGCAAGGAATGAAGAGAAGGAGGGTCCAGATATGATCGCCAGCACCCTGCCTTCCTTCATGGACACTGCTTTCCCCACCTCTCAGATGAGGGCTGGTGGTGTTTCCAAGAGTACCACCCTCACAATGATGCAGGAAATAGGATGCCAGCAGTAGTACACCAGGGTTATCTAATATTCATGTTACTGTGTACTGGTGTGTACCTGATAATTATAGTAAATGATAACAGTGCCTCTTTGTGATAGTGATGCACTGTTCTTCTAAAAATAGACTTACAAGGTAATGTAAGCTATAAAAAGTGTGTTGAAGAAGAAGTAATGAATAATGCAAGTGGTTCTTGAATAAGGCAAAATTCTTGAAGGTGGAATATGAGTGACTGGGATTGGGGAACCACTAGGTTTACTGAGGGACACAGCATAGGTTGTGCCTGTACCTCCTAAGGACACAATCACAGATCCCCAAGGCCTAGATATCAGACACAGAAAACCAGAGAGCAAGCCAAGTTTTCTAAAGGTGTCAGACGTAGGAATTCTACCAATCAGTTAAGAACAACTAAGAAATTGACTTGGTTCTAGGGTCTTCCACCCACAAAAGAGAATGGTCAATTTCTCCCTCCTTCCTTTGCGACTTCCTGTCTCTTCTTTTCCTGATGTCACCCTTCTACCTAATGGGCTCCATTAGGTAGAACCCATGTATTAGGGTGAGAGCCCTAATAAAACCATTGCTCTGAAGGTGAGGAATATCCTGGGTACTTTCACCAAGAAATGAATTTAAAGAGGAACCAGACAGGAAATGGCCACCTCCATGCGAATGTCAGGCATGAGCCATGCAGGGAGGGAATCTTCTTGACCCAGGCAGCAGTCCTGTGCCCCACAGCTGCCCTTCTGCTCCCACATGCAGGGTGGGCTTGAAGCATAATAGACGAATCCTCTAGAAACCTAATCAGGTGCTGCTCCTCCACCCCCACAGCTACCTGCTGATCATCTCAGAGGCTCAGTCAGACATCCTAGAACACCTGCCTGCCCCAAAGAGCAGGAACGAAAGAAGGTTTCAGCTGACTATCTGTCAGAACTTCAGAAGGTGGTCTTTGGGGATGGAGAGAGGGGACAAGGCTCTCCAAAACTCTGCCCTCCGTTGAGAGTGTGGGAGCTGGTCGTATATACACTGAGAATGTTTCCTTTCATCCTCTCCTCCCTCTAGTTCTGTACACATCCCACGTTTTAAAATACCCCACCTATCAAACTAATGGATGAAGAACTAATTATCTTCCCTATTTTTATCGTCAAAGATGTTCAGTAGCAGCCAAATACCAAGTTGGTATAATTCCAGGTAAAAAGCCAAAAAAATTAACCTTTTGATTACCAATGCAGTCATTTCAAAATTTGAAATCCCTTTTTTTGCCAGGTGCCAGTGGCTCACACCTGTAATCCTAACTCCTTGGGAGGCTAGATTGGGAAGATCACAGTTCTAGGCCACCCAGGGAGATAGTTCATGACAACCCCCATCTCCAAAATAACCAGAGCAAAATCAACTGGAGGTGTGGCTCGAGTGGTAGAGCACCTGCTTTGCAAGTGCGAAGCCCTGAGTTCAAACCCCAGGAAGGAAGGAAGGTATCCCTTTTCTCACTCCTTTTTCGGGAAGCCAGTCTGGAAATACGAAAGCATAGTGTCTCCCAGTCCATCAAGGAGCTGGGCCCAGGCAAGGACTCAGACACTGCATCAGCACCTTGGGTAACTGTGGAAAGCTGATCCACTGAGTTGCATCAATTCTTTCTCATTGAGGATGTGTTGGAAGCTCTAATCCTGCCAGTGCTGTCCTAGACTTGTGTGTGACCAAAACAGAAGATGAAACGAGGAGCTGAAAGTAGGAACAGGTCAGAACAGGAGAGGCTAACAGAACAAAAGAAAGCAAGCATGACAGCCTGCTATGCGCCTCTTATTTACTTAGAAATTCTTTGGAATTTATTTTAAGGAAAGAGTCATAAATCTGTGCGAAGACTTAAGTGTACTGTTTATATTAGCAAAAAATGTTTAGGGGGGAGTGCACAATGAATGTCAAACAATAAGGGATTCAGTAAATGACAGTGGTGTTTCCATGCTTCAGAGCATTACACAGCCAATGGAAGTAGGAATGCTGAGTAAAATTCATTTTGGTGGGACTGGGGTTTGAACTCATGGCCTTGCACTTGCTAGTCAGGCACTAGTCACTTGAGTCATGCTTTCAATCCTTTTTCCTTAAGTTTGTTTTTCACATATCTCTTGCTAACTTTGCCTGGGCTGGCCTTGGTATGTGATCCTCCTACCTCTGCCTCCTGAGTAGCTGGGATTACAGGTGTGCACTACCACATCTGGCTTGGTTTGGGGGATGCTTGTTTTTTGGGATAGAGTCTCACTTTTTGCACAGGGTGCACAAAGTGGCCTCAGACATCAATCCTCCTACCTCCATGTCCCAAGTTGCTGGAATTACAGGTGTGAACCACCATTCCTGGCCCAGAATATTGAGTAATTTTAACGGCATAGAAATAAACAAGCTATGAGACAAAGAATGTTGTACCAGCCCATTTTTCTAGGCTGTATGTGTGTGGAAAAGACTTAAAGTGAATGCATAAAATGTCACCAGTGTTATTTTTCTGGGTGATGAAAGTATGCTTTTTTTATGTTTGCATATTTTCTATTTTCTAAGTTTTCTGCAATAACCAATAAGAAAAAATATCACTAACATACTATAGAGTAGCTCAAGTGGTAGAGCACCTGCCTAGCAAGAGTGAGGCCCTGAGTTCAAACCCCAGTACAGCAAAAAAAAAATCAGTAAAGTTGTAAATTATTATGATAGTGATTACAGACAAACAAGCCAAGTGTTCAAAGTTATCTGTGAAGTGGAAAATCTGAGGTAGCTGGAGAAAGACAGAGGATATGTTTACTTCTGCCCAACTGAGTTTCAAGAAAGGGTGGAACTTTGAGACTGCACAGGAACATGGTGGAAGGCAGAACAGAAAAAACAAACTTGTTAACCTCCTACTGTTCTATTGAGTGATTGTGGAAAGGCACTTCTCTGTCCTGTCCCCTCCTATGGCCCCTGACTATAAGCCATAGTCATATGAAGTGATGTCAGGTCAGGACTTTAGGGAGCAAATGAGTGGAAAGAAAGGACACGGGATACAGTATGTGTTTTATATACTTTGTCCTGCTTGCTACCTGTTATCTTATAGAATTAGGTAGCTGAACATAAGGATTTTGGCCAGAGATGTTACTTAAAATAAGTTGTTTTACTCCTCATAAAACCAGGAGGAACCAGAGTGCAGCATGGTGGACCTTTGGTGGAATTCTCATTCACCAGGCTTGGCTGTATCTCAACTTCCTTGGGCATCACAAGAAAGGGAAGGAATAGGAAGCTGGGGAAGGCTGCATTGATCCCCGAGGGGGTCTCGGGAGACACCCATCAGCAGGAATCATTGAGAATGTGGAAGCCCTCAGGCCGAGCCTATCCTCCATCAGGCCTCCAGGTCCTCTTGTGCATCCCACTTCCTTGAACCCCCTGAACGCATAAGCTTTCCTCATGGGAAAGCCACAAGAAAGAGATGGGCTTCACTGAGCAGGCCCTAGCCAACAGGAAATTCCTGGAGATGTGGTGAGAGGAGGTAACAAGGCAAGACAGGGGCCTGGGTGAGCCCAGCCCAGGCAAGGAGGGATGGTGGGAAGCTTATCCACTGACCTCTGGGCGTGTCCATCTGGTTGAAGCTGGCCAGCAGGTCCCGGCACCACTGGCGGTCACCTTCCACCTTGCTCAGCCAGTTGTTACAGTTGAAGTAGTAGCGGAGATGAGGCCTCTTCATGTCAGTCACGATCACATGATCGAGATACCAGCTGGCATTCAAGCCTGTGTTGTCGTGCTCAATCCTGGGGCAGAAGCCAACACCCACACCTTCACTGGCAGAACCAATGGCCTTCCCACTGGCCACTCCGGAGACGGCTTCCATCATTTTGTTTTTGTTGTTTTCCAATAGTTTCCTCATGTATGAAATGCAGATACTTTTCAAGGTACCTGTGCACACTGACTGCTACCTGTTACACCACCTTCAAAGGAAAGTTTCCCTTCATGGAAAATTCTAGGATCCCCAAGGCTTGCATTGGAATGTCTGGATCTGTGCCTTGCAAGTCCTTTCTGATCAGTGCTGTTTCCTAACTTTGGTCTCTGGCAGTATTACTTCTTCCTGCTCTGACCCAAGCTGTACCCACCCACCACTTCCTGAAGCCCAACTGAGTCAAGGTTGAAAAAAAATTCATCAATACCTACTCAAAGGGAGGGGTGATAAGGGAATAAACAGAAAGCAGAGCCCAACTAGACCATGTAACAAGCCATCTTGCAGCACCTGGCTTGTCTCCTGGGCTCCATTTCCCTCTCCCATTGCTCGGAGTTACGACCCTCTCTTCATGACTCCCAATCACCACAACTAGCAGATACCACTCTTAGACATACCATAGCCACCTAGACTATGATTGTCCCATAGAATGTCATGTGAGACACATGTAATTTTGGATTTCTCTAGTAGCCATATTTTAAAAGATACAAAGAAACTCATGGAATTAATTTTAATAATATATTGTATTCCACTTATCAACATATAACCATGTAAAATTTATTAACAATATATTGTACAATCTTTTTCTTATACTAGACCTAAAAAACATTTTATCCATATAGCACATTGCCATGTGGATTGGCCACATTTCAAGTGCACAATGTATCCAGAACCTTCTGTATTGATCAGCATAGACATGGGCTCCTCAAATTGTGTCCTCCAGACCTTTTCCTACTTCCTGTAATCCCCCTTCCAGCCTTTCCAGCTCATTTCTTCCCCAGAACATGGCTGCTGGGTGACCTTACTATACATGGAACATCTCATCTCAGCCCAGGGCTTTAACCCAGGCCAACCACAGCCCAATATAACATGACCCCAGCACACAGATGACACGAGTGATACAGTGTACCCATCTTTTGCAAGAGTGCATTCCTCTGCCTGGCACAGAGCCAAGCACCCAGTAGGACCTCAGCTAGTAACCACCTTTTCCCATATACCGTCACTCTTTCCCAGCCTTCCCCACAGGAGCCCCTTCCCTCGTAACTTCCTCTTCCCTCGTAACTTCCTCTTCCCACACAGCCAGTGCCCAGGGTCCTCATGTCCCCTTACATCCCCTACAAAGACTCCACAGTCTTAAATTTTCTAGTGGTTGGAAGAAAAATTAGATCTGAAATGAGGCCAAATTTGTTCTTTGTCCAGGCAATCAGACCAAGGTACAATCAGACCAAGGGTGCTGTAACATTTTGACAAATGAGCATGAAGTTGAAAGGAAGTAGTTAGCAAGGAGAAGATAAGCTGTCCACAGTCCTACAACTAATAAATAGCAGAGCAGACACTTGAACCCAGGCAATCGGGACTTGGGTTCTTGCTCCTAACCATTGTGCTATATTGTCTCTCAGAGCATATGTCTTAACTTTGCAAAAAATTGTCTCAAATTGCCCTAACCCAAGAAATGAATTTCCAATGCAGAGGTTTAGGACATTGTGATTTCCAGTGGTATCTGGAGAGTAATTAATGCCCAGAAGGTGTCAATAGTGCCTTCATCTCCACCCCCACACTGATCAGGGGCCAACTCTCACCTAATTTTATAGATGAGGCCCACGTTGTTGGTTCTTACTCGGAACACATCGACATTGGCTTTCTCAAAGGCAGACTCACTCCTACAAAGAATGGGAGAGCAGTTAGTGCAGATCAGCACCTGGACCACAGGCCCAGGAGCAGAGCCAAGAGCTGGCATCCTCTTCCTCCTCCATCATTTCACTTCTGGAAAGAACTACATGCAACCAGATCTTGCTTTGAGATTCCTCTCGGACATGGTTGGAAAGGAATAGGGCAAGGATGGGTAGACTCATTCCTTGCTCATATGTCAAGGATCTCATTTGATCTGTGCTTTGAGTCACTGAGGCAATCGTAGACAATATTCACTATTATATGGACAAGTAAATTGCTAGTTGGTAGCAGAGCTAGGACCAGCATGTCTCTCTCCAGAGTCATGATCCCATACCCGCTCGTTGCTCAGGTGGTCAGGGTAAAGGAGGAAGGAAGGTGCTATGGATGCCTTGCTGCACGTAGGTCTGCAGGCCTCCTGGCCTCTCCCCCTGGCCTGTCTTGCTCTTGGTAAGAAGAGTTGGAATGGCAGCCCCAAGTGGATGCAGACCTTGGGTGGCAGCCCCTGGTCCTGCCATTTGAACAAGAAAGCAAATACTCCACCCCAAACCAGCAACCAGGGAAGTGGGGGCAGTGAGGAAATGCATATCAGAATCTTGCAAACAGTGTGAACAGAGGAACACCTGAGACGTTCAGCAAGGCAGTGCCAGGCAAGTCCTGACTCCAGGGCATCCTAAACTCAAGCAGCTTAGACACAGGAGGGCTGGAGTCACTTTGCTGTGGAATCTTCCTGGAGTGGAACGCTGAGTCTCATGATGACATCTGCTCCATCCTCTGAGTGGCCTGTACTCCTGCCATTGGAGCCCAGACCTGGGGCAGTTCTTCCTGCCCCATAGACAGTGTAGATCTCCCCTTTTGAAGGGGAATTGGGACCCCAGCCCTTCCTGTTTCTCTCTTTGCTTCCTGGCTGCCATGAAGTGAGTGGGTTCCTCCACTACTGGCTCCTCCATCATTGGCTCCTCCTTCAATGTGCTGCCTCCCCCAGGTCCAAAAGCAGCAGGGCCAACTAATCATGAACTCAAACTTCCCAAGCTGTGAGCCAAAATAAACCTTTCCCTTTCTTTAAATTGATTTATCTCAGGTAATGGTTACAGCAACAGAAAGCTAACTAATATAGTCTATTTATTGGCCATCGGTGTGGTTTAAAATAAAAGGGACATGAGGGTCTTGTTTCCAAGGCTATAAGGCTCAGACTCAGTAACAGAAGGTCTTTGGGGTTTTCACAGCCCAGAAGCCCAGAAGCTGTGAGAGCCCAGGCTCTCCTAAAGCAGAACAGAGCTCACACAAATGTACACTGAGGCCACCTTGTCGGGGAAAACAAGCCCAAAGGTTCAGCCTGGGTACAGAGAAGTGAGGAGAGACTGGCAGAAACTTCTAGGCTAGCTGGAGTGCCCAGGCTGGCAGCATGAGTCTGAGCTCAGGGAGGGTCTTGTCCAGGGCAGAAGGGAGGATTCAGGCAATGCTGGGCACACAGTCTCTCCTCCACCACCAATGAAAGAAAGACGGTGAATGTTGTTTGTTAGCCCTGGAGGAAGAGCAAGGAAATAAGAACTTTCCTCCGTGAAGAACCATTTGGTCTCCTTCCTGGGAAAAGAAACTTCCTGAACCCAGCATTTAAAAGGGAAACTAAACCAAACCAGCACTCAGGGGGGTCTGACTGATGTGAGAATTGCACTCCCAAGGGTGAAGAATACCACACCCCGGGGTATAGGTTCAAAGTCACAGCAGCTGTTAAATAACTTGGAAAATACGTGGACATCGATTCTGCACATCAGGAGTTTGTGAATGAGAAACAAAGAATTGAATAAATGGTATTTTCTCTTTCAATATATAAGACAAAATAACTGACTTTTAGAATAAATAGACAAGTTTCTACATCAAATAAATACTACGAGAAATAGTCACCCTGGGAAAAGATATGATAGAATATTTTTTAAATACTGAAAATCTTATTATAAAAGAATATTTAATGGGACAAAAACAGACTTATGATATAGGCTTAAAAGAAAACAGAGGTTTAAATGGACTGCAGGATCAGAAGGAACAATACAAACAGGATACCATCTTCATTCAAAAACAAAGAGTGGGAAAGTTTATACAAAAACATCACGTCTAGGTGCTAAGACTGAGGGCGTGCTGCTGATTTGTTATTGTCTCTGTTGTTCTCAAATTTCACATATTACTTTTGCAATTATGAAAAAAGCATAATTCTGACTTTCAGAGATGAACTCCTCCCCTTCCTCACCATCCCTGCCCCTACCCCAGCCCATGAGCTTTCAGGGACAAATTCTTTGGAAGGTTTGGGAATTTGCTGGGCTTCATTGTCTAAGGGTGAACAGCCACTGCCAGTGAACAAGGGAGAGGACGGCAAATTTTAGCCAAAGGCAAGGTGTGACTTAGAAGGAAAGCAGCTGGTTTTCTGGGGCACCTCTGAATAGAGTTCCAGAAGGAAAGCTCTGACAGCTGCCTTCAGCAAAGGGGAGCCCTGCACCCATGACATGTTCCAGTGTGCTTGTTAAATAACCAGTCCTGATGCTTTATGATCACTCAGGTCAGGGATGCAGGGAGAGAGATATGCCAGGGCGAGCAGAGTCCAAGGCAGAGGGAACGCTCCAGGCCACCTCAGGGTCACAATGAGAGGTTTCAGGGTAGGGTGGATATGCAGTAAGCTTCCTCAGTGTTCATGAGATGGAGACCAGTCTCTCCTTGGAAGAGGAGGAAAAGCCTCCTCCCTATCCCAGGGCTCTCTCTTCAGAGAGTAAAGACCGCAAAGGATGGCTCCATGGACTACCTGCCTCAGGGAGGGGCTGGGATCATCCCAAATGAGTTCCACATCCCACCCACTCTGGGGTCAGATTCTGGAATGCCCACCTCTGGTTAAGTCAGAATGTAAATGCCTGTGGGCCTCAAGAAACAGACTGGGGTAGAAATATCAAAGGACTGAGGCACCCTGTTCAAAGGAAATATTACAAGTGCAGGCTCTTCACATTTCCTTGTGGGAGGCTGGGCCTCACCATGGCCCCAGGTTCTCAAATGAAGGTTAAATGTCATGCATAGCCCTGCCTGTGCCACGCACCAAGGATTGTGCCCAGAAGGATAGCCTCCACAGGGCATTTTAGCTGCCAAGCAGGCAGAGCCATCAGGCTAAAATGCCAGCCATTCTCCCACATGCTTGGGTGGTGAATTGTCAGCAGGAAACTGTGTTCCAGATGATACATGAGATCCCATCCTTTTGCCATGTCCTGAACTTGGGGTCCCATGTCGGGGTGGCCCTGGGCAAAGGAAGGGAGCAGGGGACTCAGAAGGTGGGTTGCTCTGAGCCCCTCACTGGAATGGGGGTTGAGGTGGAGTTCACTAGTGGGAGAGTCTAGGAAACCTGTCACCTTCTTTACTGTCTAAGAGAAGGTCCGATGTGTTCTGAGAAATTTAAGCACCAGACCATAAGGATGAATACAATTTGCATTTTAACATCAGGTGCCACGTTCTTCTTGGAGCAGGAATTATAGGGAATTTGGGGGTGGGGAACTGCTAAGCCGTCTGAGAGTGGAAGGTAAAGTCCTAGGGCACAGAGGTGAAGGCATAGGACTGAGTAGGAGACATTGCCAGAGGTCATGAGAAGGGGTCGTGAGAAATTCTAAGAAAAGCAATGGCCGAATATTAACACTAAGTCTAGTATTCCATCTGAAGTGGTTGGCCGTGCTGCCATGTGAACTCTTTCTAGAACCTGGAGCTCTCAGTCAAGTCTGTTACATACAAAAATGTCACGTGTGCATGTGTGTGTAAGACAAGGAGCATGGCTCCAGCTGACATAGGGGTTTTGGCTGGAGTGGGTTTGGGTGCAAAGAGAACGACAGTGAGATGTGAGGATATTGTGGACCCCAGGGATGGGGTGGGTTGGTGGTGGCCTGAGCTAACTGCATCTGTATTCAACTGAGCAAAATTACCTCAGTTGCCATCTGAGTCTGGGTTGCTCAGGTAGCCTGCATCCCTAGAAAGCAATAGTCTCCCAGACCTGGAGTTTCTACCTTGAATTGAAAGGAGTCTCAGATGTGGCAATCTACACAGTTTTCTTTGTAGATTTGTTCTCAGTTCTTGCTGCATCCAGACTCAGCCCTTTCCCTCACAAATGATCTTGGCCTCCATCATAAATTGAATGTCCACGGCTTAGCTTTCAAGAAAGGCTTTCTGAAACATGGCTGCCTGGCTCTTCTCGTCTGTCTCCTCTCTGCCCCTCAACATAGCAGTGCAACTTCCAGCTACAGGACTCCTCCAGGTCCACAAGCACCTCCCCTACTGTCTCCACACTCTGGCAAGCTGTTCCTCTTAGTCTAATCCACCCTTTTGTACTCCTTTTATCTGAGACCTTTTCAGCACTGGAGGCCCAGGTTTTGTCCCTTCCTGTGAAGTCTCACTCTGGCCACATGACACCTCTGGCATTTGCTGAATTCTGACTATTCACTAGGAACCAAAGGAGGTGCTGAAGTCTCTGGTTGCCCTTCTGTGGACCCTCACCTGGCCGGTCCATCACCTCTCTACACAGCCCTCTCTGGCCTCTCCAGGGCCCAGCTGATACACCCACCTGTGCTCACAGGATGCTGCTGAATGCTTCTGGCCAGCCCAACAGGGGTCCTGGCCAGACCCGTGCTCTTGCTGTCCAACCTGGAGGATGACACAGATCTAGGCAGAGCACCCCACCGACAGCCGCACAGGCTTCTGGGGAGTGTTGACTCCTGTTCATTTTCTTTCCCTTCATCACAATGTAGCCTTTCTTTCCCTACTGAGAGGGAAGGTTGACACTCAGACTTCCAGAAGAGGGACACCAGTTTATAACAGTGATTCTGGAGTCTGCCTGAGAGGAGGTTTTGGTGAGCGAATAGGTGAGGGGAGGAATCTGAGGATATTGTGTGCGTGAAAAGAGTAATGACAGTAAGGACTCACCTAAAAGGAGAAAAGGGTGCTTTTTGCTTAAAAAGGCAGGTTGCAGACCCCAGAAACCAGTTGGCAATCTCCTCTGTGCTAGTGACATCTCCCTACGCTGGTACACACTGGGGGAACACATGGCAAAGAGGATGGATATTTCATGTATTCCCTTTACCGTGCCCACATCACTGGAGGGAAAGGCTTCCACGAGCGAGTCACACACAGTACAAGGAGGCAGGTACCCTGCTCTGCAGAAATGAACAAAATGGCGTGTTACGGCTGCCTCAGTGCTGCTGTGTGGGTGCCACAGCTCACATTTGGGATGAGACACATCACAGTCCTGGTCAGTCCATGAGGCTCAGAGTCCAAAGTTGCCTCGTTTCAGGACCCCATCTTTCTACAGCTTCCCCTGTGTCCTTGGAGGCGCCAGACCATAAATCCCACAGGCCACAACCTGGAGCTCCAATGGGACTCCAAGAATGGCTACACCAGGAACATGGATTGAGGATCAGCTTCATCCTCAAAAAACTCCAGGACTCTGAACCACTCACCATTCCTCTCTGGGCCTCAGTTTCTCTGTGAACAGATTAGATCGGGAGTTTCAAATTTTTCATGGCTGTGGAACTTTTGGCTCAAACAGAATCCTACCCAGAAATCCAGTGGGTAAGATAATCATAAGTGAAGTGTCTCTGAAAGATGGAGAGATGGGGTCCCAGAACCAACTGGTCAAGTCCCTGTCACTCAGCAAAGACTGAAAACTACCGTCCCTAAGGTCCCTAGCTTTCTCTGAAATTCTGTGGCTGTGTTAACACACTGTGTGTGCTTGTGTATGCACGTATGTGGTGGGAAGAGGACCAAAGAGAAAGAGCGGTTCCTGCCCTCAGGGGATTATAATAAGGTGGAGGACACTAGCGTTTCTAGTGCACACTCAGATGCACACACAGCACATACATGGCGTGATCCACACGTCTATATGGATCTTTAATATGATGTTGGTCCCCTGAGACCTCAGTGCAGAGCATTTTAATCTCACGGCTCCCTCACAGGCATGATCTTCCCAGCACTCCTTCTCCCAACAGTTCTGTGATGATATATGGGAAATCAAGGCCTTGAATACAATGAGATTTTGCCAAAGTTACATGGAACTAAGTGGTAACACTGGACCTAGACCCAAGTTTCTTCCTTCAGGGTGTTTATTCTCCCACATCAAGAGACAAACAATTATGAGCTCTTACAAGAGCCAATTTAGGGATTATTGTTCATATAATCAAGAAAGGGCAAAGGCCAGCTGCAGTGGCTTACATCTGTAATCCCAGCTATTCTGAAGGTGGAAATTGGGAGGATCGAGTTCGAAGTGGCCCCAGGGAAAAACACAAGACCCTATGAAGAGGGGAGGATAATTAAAGCAAAAAAAAAAAAAAATGCTTGGAGAGTGGCTCAAGTGTTCAGGTAGTACTCACTTGCTGGTAAGATGGAGCTTGGGAGAGAGCCCATTCTCTCCAAAAATTGTGATGAAGACATTGGCATCTGTCCCTGCACCTCGAACGTCCCCTGTGGCTGTGACCACCTCGTATACTGGAGGAGGAAAGAAGACAGATTGCAGGCTCAGAAGAGAACCCAAAATCCCATGCAAGCTTGAAAGAAGCAGGACTCCTTCCAGCCTTGCAGGGTATGCCTAGGCACAAAGTACTCTGGGAATCTTACTTTTCTTCCATACTAAGCTCCTCTTGGAAGTCCCAAACCTCACTCTTAATACCATGCACCCCTTTTGCAGAAGAAGAATCTGAAAGCAGGGGGACAGGCCCAGTCACAACCTGCCCAGAAAAAGCCACCCCTGGGCTGGGTATACAGAGCTACTTAAAGGCTCTCTCTTTACCAGAGGTACTGAGTTCCCTCTCTTGGTCCCCCTGCTGTCAGCACTTTCCTGAAAAGGCATCAGTCCTGTAAGAGTCTTGTCTGCTTTCTGGAGAAAGAAGGCAAGAATCCACCTGAATTAAAGACAGCGAAATCTACTCCAATCAAGTGAAACAAGTAGGATGACTGGGAATGTTAGACAGCAAGCAGAAATGTTGGAAAGGTTGCAGGCATGTGCCCTAGACCCAATTCTAGAATCAACTCCCAGAATCCACATAAACCTGGTCTTGGTGGAGTGGCTGCCTCCAGCTACCCTAGAACCACATCACCTCTGCCAAGAAGGGGAAACAACCACGTCACTTCCCATTCAGCTGCTACTCCTGTCTCAAAAAAATTTTTTTTAAGAGAAGGGGCTGGGGGTGTGGCTCAAGTGGTAGAGTGCCTGTAAGACCCTAAGCTCAAATCCCAAAAGTTAAAAAAAAAAAACCAAAAAACTGTTCCCTGTGTAGTTCATAAAAAGGATGATTTCTGAATCAGAGCCTTGCTCTAGAACAGCTGATCTGGGAACCTCCCACACATGCATGCAGCAAGGGAGGCTGAGCAAGAGAAAATGACTCCATGTTGGGAAGGTGGAATTCACAATGTGGGGAGCCAGAAGAATGTGGAGAGGGTGTTTGAAATATTGGGGACTTAAGACAGATGTCCACTACATAGTGGAAATGTATGAATACCAGTGCTTGGGCTGACCGAGTAGCTCAAGCAGTAGAGTACCTGTAAGAAAGTGTATAAGTCCTGAGTTCAAATCCCAGTACCATAGAGAAAAGATACTGAATACCGGTGCTTAATAATTGCAGGCATAAATTATATTGATTGATTTTTTACTATGTGCTGTCCCTGAGCTAGGAGACTTTCCTTGTATATCACTGGGCTTGATTATTACAGCAAACCTATTTTCATTCCTACCTCAGGTCTTCTCAGAGCAGGTGCCCAACCAATTGCTGAATACATTTGAGCTGCCCTGAAGAAGACCACCTGATTAGGAGGATATCAGGAGGGGTTTGATGCCCATTATCCAAACCAATCAACCCATAGAGTCCATTCCACAGAGGGAGCTCATCCCACATGCAAATGGCAAAGTTGAGGATTAGGACATGGGAGACACAAACACCTTTGAGCATCTATTGTGTGCCAGGCCTGTGTCAGGTGTGTTATAGATACTCTTCATTCTACAGCAAGTCCATGAGTCTGTGGACTCTGACAAAGTGCTGGATGTCCATGCCACAGAGATCTGGGGGCAACCACTGGCTCTCCACTTAGGAGCAGGGTGCCTCTGGACAACTACCAACCTTCCCATAATGCTGGATGATATTACCTGGTTTGCAGAATTGTTCTGGGGATTAAAGATGATATCTGTAAAGACTCTGGCACATAGAAGACACTCAATAAATAGCCTTTCTTTTTTAAAACTATTGTTGTTTGTGCATAAAGGTCCATTTCAGCTCTAGGAGCTAACTAACAGCCTGTTCCTTTGGCAGACAGGATGTTAGCTCAACTAACATGCATGTGATGTATTCCAGAAGCCCTTCAGGAGCTAACACGCTTCTTCCAGGCTTGTGAAGTTCAGGAGCAGCAGTGTTTAGGTGCGAGTTGAACCTTTTAATGTCCTTGGATCTGACAAAGCCCTGGATCTGAGAAGGAAGCAGTGCATATGTGTGACTCTTTGTCTCTCATGATAAACAGAACCCTCACAGCCTACACCACAGGGGAGCCTGATCTGCAAATAACCCCTGATGGCAAGCTTGACCCTTTAGTGACAACTCTGGGGCTTGGAGTATTGCTCAAAGGAATCTCACATACACAAGAGCATTTCTAATTCAAGCATCCACGGAAGAATGACCAGCCTGATAGACATTCCAGAACCACTTCACACGAGAGAAGATAAAGAGGCCTGAGATGCTTGAGTTGGAGAGAAGGAAGGTGTGGGATTCAAGAGAGGAATGAGAAAGCTACCTCAACAGCTGATTCAGGGGGACACAGCTGCTTCTTAAATAGGAAATTGGCTATAAATCAACTAATCAATTAGACTTAATTATAATTATAATTACATTAATTGAGAATGCCAAAGCATGCCACAGGGTAGGAAATGGTGTTTGAAGTACATGTAGCCAAAAGAAGACTCAGACCTAGAAGACATAAAGAATTCACAGAAATAGGAAGGCATCATGCCAGTCAACAAGGCCAGGAGGATGAGGCAGGAGGATCAAGAAATAGCCAGGCACAGTGGTGCATGCCTGTAATCCTAGTACTCTAGAAACGGAGGCAGGAGGATCTCAAGTTTAAGACCAGTCTGAGCTGCATAGCAAAACCCTGCTCAAAAAAATTCTCACAAATAGATAAGAAAAAGAGAAGCGATACAATTATTTAAATAGACAATAATGTCTTTAAAAGATAAACACACACTTACCATCGAATCCAAGAATTCCACTTTTAGGTATTTACCCAAGAGGAAAGAAAACATGTCCGTGTAAAAGCCTGTGAGCACAAATGTTCCTAGTAGTTACAAACCCAAACCAGAAACAGCCTAAGCGTCCCTCAGCAAGTGAAGGGATAAATGAATCATGGCATATCCATATAATGGGACAAAAAAGAATAAACTCTGATAGGCAATATGAATGAAGCTCGAGCATCTTACGCTGAGCAAACGTTAGACACAAAACACTACATTCTTTATAATAGCATTTATAAATAACTCAATAAAACTCAATAAAAGATAAGTCTCATCCATTGTACCTGGGAACAGGAGAGTGACTTCCTGGGATGGGAGTAGGAGAACTGACAGGAAGAAAGACAGGGAAGCTTTGGGCTCCCTAAAGGAAATGTTCTCTCTATAATGCATCCTTGTGGTCACATGGTATAACACTAATCAAACAGAAAATTTTAAATAGTTGCACTTTATTGCAAGTAAATTATAAGTCAATAAAGTTAAAAAGTACACAAAAGACTTAAACAGACACGTCACCAAAGAGGATATCCAAATGGCCAATAAACATGGAGGGAAGAGATCAGCGTCAGTATTCACCAGGAAATGCAAATCAAAATGACAAGAAGTCATTACCAAATACCCATCAGAATGGCTAAAATTAAGAAGAGTGACAATTCCTAGTATTGGTAAGGAAGTGGACCTATTGTCCCTCTCACATGTGATGGGGCAGGGGAGGGAGGTTTGTAGCTCATACAAGCTCTGGTAGATAAGCTTACCTGTGACCCAGCAGTTCTCTTTATCCAATTATAAATGCAGGACAATTGAGTGCCCATGTCCACCAAAAGTTGTGTACAAGGGCTGGCAGAGTGGCTCAAGTGGTAGAGTGCCTGCCTAGCAAGTGTGAGGCCCTGAGTTCAAACCCCAGTACTATCAAAAAGAAATCTTAAAAAAAACGTTGTGTGCAAGATTTGTAGCAGCTTTATACATAATAGCCAAAAAAGGAAAAACCCAGAAATAACTCAAATATTCACTAACAAGAGAATGGTTAGACAAATGGTGATGTGTTCAGAACAACCTTATTATATTATATGTTGTGTCACAACGTATAATAAGATAATATAACATATTAGTACAACACATATAATAAGATAATAAATCTTTCCACTGTAATGTTGAGTGAAAGAGAAGATAGGCACAAAAAACGTACACGATTCATGGTTCCATTTATATGAAGATCAAGAAAGAAAAACGAAACTGATTTCTGAAGATAGATTCAGGAGAGGTGTTAGCTCTGTGGAAGGATATGAAGGAGCTGTGTGAGGGCTGCAAGTGCTCCATGTCCTCATCTGAATAGTGGTGACACAAGCATGGCCACAGGCAAAAATTCCTCATGCTGTACCTTTATGAGTTTTGGACTACATACACATTGTTCCTCAATTTAAAATTTTTAATTGAAAAACTCAATTGCTATAGCTGAAGAACTGTTTTGTGGAAGTCTGATACCTGTGGAAAACTCAAAATTCTATTTGACTTCAGAGGGGAGGAGCACAACTAACAAAGTCCCCTAGTCAGCACAAAGAATACTTAACGACAGCACAGTGTTACTGTTAGCACAGAGCCTGGCACATGGGAGGCACTCAACAGAGAATTACCTGGGTTGATGATTAGCTGGAGTGAACAAAGAAATGAATGAAGTGATCAATGAAATGAATAAAGACTGTGGGACTCAACTGATCAGGATTTCAATCCCAATTCCACCATTGCTGCCTATGTAATTTCACTTGAATAGCTTACTGAACCTCAACCTCCTCTTCTCAGAAGTGAGGATAATTTCTTCCCTGAAGGATGTGGTAAGGATTAAATTAAATACAACAAAGTTTTCAATGTTCATACTCTACTCACTGATCCTTCATTTCCACTTCTGGGAATTTATCTTACAAGACTTTCCTCCACAGCAGAATGAAAAATGGTCCCCACCATCACTATTTCCATTACATCTTCATCACCACCATCATGATCACATCACTACCACTGCTGTTGTCTCCAGTAACAACACCCCAAGGAGATCTGCCTTGGGAAATGGTGTCGGAAGACATGCTATCGGGTTCGTATCTGAGTCAGCATCTTCTCAGCAAGGACTTGCCTTGGTTGGAAAGCAGATCCATATCCCAGGCTCAGCTGTCCTTAGAGCCCTAAGCTAGCTGTGGTCCTCCCTCTGGTCATTGGTGAACTCCAGGGTAGCCAGAGAAGGTACACCTGGACCTGTTTCCTTGCTTGTCCTCCTCCTCAGCACACTCATCAAGTCTCTCCATGAAGCTGGGCACCAGTGGCTTTCAACTATAATCCTAGCTACTTAGGAGGCAGAGATTGGGAGGATGGCAATTTGAGGCCAGTTAGGCAAATAGTTTGCAAGATCCCATCTCCAAAAGAACCAGAGTGAAATGGAATGGAGGTGTGGCTCAAGTGGTAGAGCATCTTCTCTGCAAGCACAAAGATCTGAGTTCAAACCCTAGTTCCCCCTGCAAAAAAAAAAGACTCTTCAAGAAATACCGGACCCCAGAGCTCAAGGGGAGCAGGAGACCCATCCTTTTAAAAGTAAAAGGATGACAAGGACAGTGCAGCTGGAGTTCAGCATATAATTACTGTCAGCATCAGCCACAGTTTTCACCAGGGCTCCGCAGGAGACTGGAAAGTCAGTGGGTGTCTACGAAATGCCAGTGGGCACTCCTCCCCCAGCTTTACCTTCTCCATCTAGTTTATCACAGTCAAGTCCGGGCAGTACAGAGCAAGGACCTGCTCTGCCTGTCAAGCACAAAGCCCTGAGTTCAAACCCCAATTCTGAAAAAAAGAAAAAAAAAAAAAGAGCAAGGACTTTTCAACCAATTAGATTCAAATCCTAACTCTGCTGCTTACTAGCTGTGTGATCTTGGGCAAGTTACATAGCCACTCTGTGCCTCAGGATCCTGACCTTGAAAATCCAACCTGCCTTTCCACATGCATTATGAAGATGAAATTGGTTCAGGGGAATAAAGTGCTTAGCACAGAGCCTGGTACACATCTCACAGCACCACTGTGAGATGAAATAAGGGACGTGCTTGAGAAAGGACACTTCAAGTTCTAATCCTCTGTCACGCTTACAACTTTGCTCAAGTCATTACTGTCTCAGAGCCTGTGCAATGGGACTAATCACCCCTGCCTTGACCGTTCTTAGGGACCTTGGCGATCAAATGAGAGAATGGACATGAAAGACTTCAAAAAGGGAGAGGGACCATTATGGTCTCACTGAGACACACGTTGCCCATGAACAGAAGTGGGCAGGGAATGCTGTCTGAGAGGATCTAGAATGTTCTCACCAGCAGCTGGGTAGATCACTCTAGCCTGCTGCCCATCCCCCAGCTAGATGATCCACCTGGGGCATGTGTGACTGGAGGAAGTGGTCATCCCCGTTTGTTCTGGACCCCTCCCTTCTTGCACAACCTCAGGAGATACCTGGGAAGGGTCCTCCCTAAGCCACAGCCTTGATGGTGCCACAGCTCAGATCGGCTTGTCTGAGCCAGGTCTGTGTCAGGGTTTGACTAAGGACAAACCATGCAGGACACCACCATCACAGGCTTCAGAGTGACCGAGACTATGAGCCCAATGGTCAGACTTGCATGCAGCCACAGAACTGTTAAACACTGGATATAATCAAAGACCTGCCCCTCTCACTTGGCCAGCAGCATCCACCCCATGTTGGGCACAGGACGAGAGGTTAACTCGCCTTCCGTCACAGCCTGGCCGATCAGGGGTCTCAGTCCGATACAGACCACATCTGCGGGTGCAGGCTGGAATGCTACTTAAGAGTCTGGGAACTGGCAAACCTGGGGCACTGCACTTCTGGTCTGTTCTGCCTCACTAGACTCTAAAGGCAAGTCGCCTCACTTTCCACGCCGCGGGAGCCCTGGCGTGGTGCCTACCCTGCTTCCTTCAAAGGAGTGCAGAACAGACACACGGGATAACCTGTGGGTCCAATCCCAAACTGCTCTGTAGAACCAGAGACAGATCTGGACAGCCATGTGCCCCACCCCACCTGGCAGGACCACGCACCCTTGGCCTTGTAGTACTCGTGCTCCAGCTCATCCTCGTCATCCTCTGAAGCATAGTTCAGCAGCTCCTGCTCGTACAAACCCAGAAAGTCGATGTCTTTTTTCCTCCTCTTCTTCTTCTGGGGCATCATTGTGCTGGCCGCCTCTTCCTGGCACTTTCAGGTTCACAACCTACCTCCTTGGGCCTCCTTGGACCCTGACCTTCTGTGGCTCCAAGTCTGGGTGGGCCCCAATGGCCCTCTTCCCTGAACACTCTGTCTCAAAGTCCTGCTCTTTTTTCTCTTCTCTGGCCCCTGAGCCTGTGTCCCTTCCTGTCCCTGCCCCCTCCCTCCGCCACCCTCTCCCACTTGCACCTGGCCTGGGGCTCTCCTTAGGCTTCCTCACTTATTTATGAGGATGAGAAAGGCTGTCCTCCTTCCTCCCACTCCTCCCCAGCCCCTCTCCTCCCTTCACAGAGACTCAGGTAACAAAAGTCCTTGGCATTCATTTCTGACTGACCTCACAGCAGGGGAGCAATCTGGGACCCTCCCAGGCCACTCTAGGGGCAGGTGAGGGCCTTCCAGCAAGGAGACACCTGAGCCCTCACGGCCCATGAGGACCCTGACATCGTTCCAGGCCTGGGTCCCTCCTGAGGAGGGCAGAGGCCCGTGATCAGCTAAGCTCCCAGCTCAGAGGACTTGCTTCTCTCTTCATTATTCATGGCTTCTGATCAGTTTACATGGTAGGCAGGGTTCTTACTAGATCCTTCTGGTTCTGTCTCTGCTTCCATCTCCCCAAGACTGCTGGCTTCTGGAGGCGGCCAGGAGAGAACAATTGCCCCTCACAAGCACACAGACGACCCACAGGGCAGTAACTAATTATGAGTTACTGGCACTGCCAGGCCAGAGCCCACGACCCTGGGGAAGCTCACTCATCCTCAGGTGGCCCCCAGCAACATCTGAGCAGACCAAACAAAACTCACCAGCCTCTGCCCTACTAAGAATTCTCAGTTTACCCATATTGTTTTCTGTGGTTTTGGAAGAAATAGTAAAACCTCCAGGCCCCAACTCAGCTCCCTGTCTCCCTTGGCCTTCACCTTCTCCACCCTCAGTTGCACTCTGCAAATTCTGAGAACTAGGGCCAGAGGCCTCTCCCCATCCTCAATCAGCAGGAGAGTTCCCTAGGGTTGCTGGACTCCTCTCCTTGCTTATTCTATGAAGATTTTATTAAGATCCCTTATAACCCAACTGCTAAGAGCTCTAGATTTTGAAATGCTAGAAAATTTCAATTCACTTGAAAGTCTGTCCTCTGGCCTTGCAGTGTGAGATTGTGGGACAGAATTGAGCCCAACTGTACTACCCTCTGGCTCTGTGGCCTATGGTACCCATAAAAGGGGAAGAATGACCCACTAGTGCATATTTAGCACTCAGAGAAGGCACTTCATTAACCAGAAGCTTCTAGAACACATTAGAGGTTAATGAATGTCCTTAACTCCTGCAACAGACTAGGTACTTGTACCTCTCCTGTTGGGGACTAGGCACGGACCCTGGATGGGGAGATGTTGGAGGTTGCAGAGTCTCCATAGTAGGAGTTTGGAGAGCTCTCCCACGCATGTCGAGGCACTCTCCCAAATTCAAATGTTGAATAATGACATTAAAAGTTTTATATCGGGTAATGATCCCAAGAGGTGGGGTTTTGCAGGGAGGTGATGAGGTCATGGGGGCGGAGCCCTAGTGAGTGGGATTAATGCCTTGTAAAAGAGACGCCAGCCTGTTCCCTTGCCTTTCCAGTTGAACGAGGGAGGGACCATGAGAAAACATACATGGAACCTGCCGACCTTGGATAAGTTTCTGTTGTTCGTAGGTCACTCAGTGTGTGGTGTTCTGTTGTCGTAGTCTGAATGTACTTAGACTGCTTCTCATCAGGATTGTTCTCTTTCTTTCCTTGTTTGGGGAGCTCAATGCTTTGTTACCACTCAGATTGTTCCAGAAGCCCTCTTACAGGTCATAACGTGTGTTCTCTTCCCTCCGTGCCCACACAGCCCATCGGAGGCCTTGAGTTAAGGGAATGAACTTCTGTTTCCTACCAGTTTTCCAGGAGCACTATCTGGTAAGGGCCTCTTTACTTGTTACCCCCACCCCAGGGGAGTATGCAGAGACCATGCTCCCTGTTCATTGTCAGGACCTGTACTGTGCCTGGCACACAGTAGGCTTCAGTAAGCATTTGTTCAGTGAATTAACAAATGTGTAATTAAACAATAGGCAAGTCTACAAAGCTGCCAGGTTCAAAGCCTTTGCCTGAAGAAAAGCAGTATGGACTAAACAGAACCACACTTAAAGGTAAAGTGAATGTTCTAGAAGAGGTACCATTTGGCCTGGAGATGCAGACATTTCGAGGATCTGTGAGAGCGGCTTTCACACACGTGAATGCTTGTGTTGTAGAGCCAGAACTGTGTCAGCCTGTGTGGCTGAAAGGACACTCCTATGACTGGTGATGGTGACAATAGAAAGGCAGGGTTTCCACCCCAAGCCAGGTGTCATAGTGTCACAGGTGAGAGCTGGGTAGCGTTGCTGGCCAGTGTACAGCAGAAGACACTTCAGAGACCTGGTAAGTCTGGACCTGATCAAACTTACTGGCAGAGGGGTCTGTCCTGTAGCTTGGACATTCCATGACTCTGGATGGAAGGTGCCGGCAGCATCCACATCAATGATTGCCGAAGTGTGATTTCAGGGCCACCTAGATTAGACCCTCCCAAGGAGCTTATCAAATTCAGTAGGTCCTCCCCAGACCTACTGAATCAAAACCTTTAAAAAACTAGTATATTATTGTTGTACTGGGGATATAAAAGTTCTCACACTATATCGTAGTTGAATTCAACCCTCCATCATTCTCCTTTATCCTCCCTCCCTCCCGTTCCTGGAATAGTCTCATTTTTCCGTTTTCATACATGAGAACATAGTATTTCCACCATACTGAATCAACATTTTTGAAGGTCAAACTTAAGAATCTACATTTTCAATGACTCCGTCACCCCTGTGACTTATATGTACTAAAATCAGGAACCCCAGTAGCCAATGGCCACCCAGGTGAACTCACTGGCCTGATAGCTCCCCTACACTGAGGAGAGAGAGTGGGCACCCACATGTCAGCGCTGGCTACCTGCTGGAATGGCCTGGGGCCTATAAATGCTGAGGCTTGGGTCCCCACTCTGGATATGGGATTTGCTTGATCTAGGGTCAAAACTCCCAGTAATTCAAACATGCAGCCATGTTGAGGATCGCTGCACCCTCCTGAGCTGTGGTAATAGGAACATTCTTGAGGCATCCTATGGACTTTAAATCAAAGGAGCAAGTATAGAGGGAGATTTCAGAGGGGAAGGAGGAGAGTCGTTCATGGACAGATGGAGGGGACAACTGAGCAGCAGCCAGCCTTGATTCCTCTCCTTGCTCTCGGGGCATCTTTGTTCCTGACCTGCTCTTTGGAGCCATCAGGTCCCCCACCACCACCAGGGGAAGATCCACAAACGTCCTCACCCAGGAAAGCCCAACTCTCCCCTACTCACAGAGGGACTGCACTAGAAAGAGCACCAAGTCGAGATGAGAAAACAGGAGTGGGGCTGAAGGCATGGTTCATGCAGTAGAATGCCTGCCTAGCAAGTGTAAAGTCCTGAGTTCAAACTCCAGTACTGGCAAAAGAAAAAAAGGAAAAGGAAAAAAAAAAAAAAAAAAAGAGTGAAGTTTAATGGTGGGTGATGTACGCCCCCTGCTGGCACTAAGTGGTTTATGGGAGCTTGACAATTATCAGAAAATTAACAGGAAAAATCATTTTGGCTAGGGATCTATTCAAAGAAAATTATTACTACTACTATTATTATTATTCAGATAAAAAATGTTTATTAGAATGCTTTTTGGAGAAATTGAATTTAAAATATTTTTAGAGAATCCCATGACTTTAGAACATACGAATAAACTGGGTGTGGTGCTCATGACTATAATCCCAGCACTTGGGAACCTGAGGCAAGAAGAGCTCAAGTTCAAGGCCAACCTGGGCTACATAGGGAGTTCAAGGCCAGCTTGGACTATGAACTGAAACTCTTCCTCTAAAACAAAAGGAAACTAGCAGGAACATGGAGGAAGCAGAACTATCAAACTGCAGGAGAGAATGTAAAATGGTGCAGTTACTTGCCGAAGGAGCCAGACTCTCTTATACCACTAAATAAACACTCTGGCACAACTCAGAAACTCCACTACTGGGCATTTACCTCAGAGAAGTGAAAATGTATGTCTACACGGGATCTGAATGTGAATGCTTGTACACAGATTTTTTCATAATAGCCCCAAACTATAAATAACTCAGATACTCATCAATTGGCCAGTGAGTGAACAAATCAAGGTACAGCTTTGCAAAGGAACACTTCTCAGTAACAAAAAGAAGTAAGGCTACACTTGTGTGTAGAAGAATTATCCTAAGTGAAAGAAAGTAAGCAGGAAAACACTTCATACTGTAGGATCACATTTATATAACATTCTCAAGAAGGTAACACTATAGAATCAGAAAACAGGCCAGTGGTAGCCAGGGATTAGTGTGTGGGAGGGATGGACGATCAGGGAGCATGAGGAGGCAGTGCATGGCCTCAGGAACAGGACATGAGCTCCACTTGTCTCTCTCAGATGTCCTGCATGAGATGCTTCCTTCCCATGTCCACATGACAGCGTAGCTGGGTCCAGCCTGTGATGCCCATCCCAGGCTCTTTGGTGTGAGGATCCTGCATGTGGCTGGCAGCACAGGTGCTCAGGATGTGCTTTGCAAAGCACCCCTCATTCCAGACAGGGCTAGATCAGAGGAAGTAGGAGTAGGCCTGAGTGCCAGCCCCATCCTCCCCTCTCTTTTCTTAGCCTGAACCCCTGAACTGTGTAGCACGATTAGGAATTTTCATTGTTACCACTGACTCTTGAATTCCCAGCCACTTCTGTGTGCTGATGAAAGCACAAAGGACAGACAGGGTGATTTTTGGTACCAAAACCTCTGGTTAAAAAAAATTCTGCTTATTCCATTGATCATTTTCATGTGCACGTGCACACAGACACAATTGTGCAAAGAGATCTTGTTGCCTTGGTCTCCTTCTCCTTCGAGTGTATTCTCCTACTGCTGA